TAGTTAGTAATCAACACAAAAGAGGCTTTCGTTCTTCAACTTAAGATGTCCTCTTTTCTTTTTCTCTTGTTCATATAGGGAACAAGCTTTACCCTGTATACAGATCCAGCTGCAAAGGGACATCTGTGATTTTGGGAACCAGGCTGACCTGCCATCTGGAAACGGAAGCAAGTCCTCAGGTCTGCAGAAGACCTTCTCCAAACTGACATCTCGGTTCACCAAGAAAGTGTCGTGCACCACCTCCAGCAGCACACACTATTCCAAAAACGTCTTCACAGCTGTGTGTTCAGAGGAGAAGGCCAAGATGCCAGGCAATATTGATACACGGTTACAGAGCATTTTGAACATTGGTAACTTCCCTAGGACTACAGACCCTTCCCAGGCGGCTCAGAATTCCAGTAATCCAATGGTCAATGGTTTTCTCCTGGAGAGACATGAGAACTTCCTGCATGGGGACGATGGCAAGGACGAGAAGGGCATGAACTTACCCACTGACCAAGAAATGCAGGAAGTGATAGATTTTCTCTCAGGCTTTAACATGGGCCAGTCACATCAGGGGTCCCCACTAGTGACAAGGCGTAATTCTACTGCCACTGCCATGGTGACTGAACAGAAGGCAGGAGCCCTTCAACCACAGCAGCCATCACTGCCAATGGCCCCTCCATTACGGCCACCCCAGGCTGGAGCACACACACCTCTGGCACCTCAGCAGCAGTCTCCAAAGCAACAGCAGCCCCAGGTCCAGTACTACCAACACCTGCTCCAACCCATTGGATCACAGCAGACTCCACCCCAGCCTCGGGCACCTGGGAAATGGGTCCATGGCTCATCTCAGCAGCCAGCACCTCCCATGGCAGCGGGTCTGTCTCCTCTTGGTCAGTGGCCTGGCATATCTGATCTCAGCTCTGACTTGTACAGCTTGGGCCTAGTGAGCAGCTATATGGACAATGTGATGTCAGAAGTTTTGGGACAGAAGCCACAGGGACCTAGGAATAACACCTGGCCAAACCGTGACCAAAGTGATGGAGTCTTTGGAATGTTGGGAGAGATTTTGCCTTTTGATCCTGCAGGTAGGTGAGGCCTTCCCACTGCTCACCACATTAAAAAAATATAACACAGTTGCTGATGAATTCCTGGAGGCCTAACCCCACAGCCTTATGAAAGTACAGTACTTGTATGTACTAGTATGCTCTACTAGTAAGCACCAGCACCTGCCCCTGCCCCTGCCTCTGCCCCTCAGCTGTCCTTAGGACCTTCTCACTGTCTGGAGGGAAGTGTCTGGTGGAGGCAAGTGCAGGGGAGATGTAGCAAGAAAGGAAAGCAGATTGGGGAAGTGGCTGAGAAAGTAAGGGAGAACCATTATTCGTCTTGAGACCCTCGATCTTTTTTCTTCCTTCCTCTGTCTGTCTGTCTGTCTCTCTCTCTCTCTCTCTCTCTCTCTCTCTCTCTCTCTCTCAATAGGGTTTCTCTGTATCCCTGGCTGTCCTGGCACTCACTCTGTAGACCAGGCTGCCTCGAACTCAGAGATCTGCCTACCTCTGCCTCCTGAGTGCTGGAGTGAGAGGTGTGCATGGAGGCGTACACCCCCACTGTCTGATGAGCCCCAATTTTGTAATCCTGTTATTATTTTATGTTTTACTCTTTCTGGTACTGGGGATTGAACCCAGGGCCTCTCACATGGTAAGCAGGCACTCCACCACTAGCCGTATACCCAGCCCATCTTACATTTTTTCTTTTGAAACAGAGTCTCACTAATTTGCCAGCTTGTTCTCAGACTTGCTCTGTAGCCATGGTAGGTTTTCAGTTTGGGATCTTGGGCCTGGAAAGATGACTTAGTGGTTAAGAGTACCAGCTGTTCTTGCAGAGGACTCAGGTTCACTTTCCTCTTCTAGTTTGGGTGGGTGCCATGTGCATGTGGTGCACTGATATACATGCAGGTGAAGCAAGCACACAAAAATTTTTAAAAAGAGAAATTAAAATAGGTGTGATAGTGCAAACCTTTAATCCCAACACTGGGGAGGCAGAGGCAGATCTCTGAATTGAGGCCACCCTGAACTATTAGTGAGACCCTATCTCAAAAAGAAAACAAACAACAACAACAAAAAAAAGAAATTTGGTGGAAGATACTAGCATTTCGTAAAACAAACATCTCAATATAAATTATCAATAGTAGGATTTTTTTCCCTTTTCAATTTTTTTTTAAAATATTTATTTATTATGTATACAATATTTTGTCTGTGTGTATGCCTGCTGGCCAGAAGAGGGCACCGGATCTCATTACAGATGGTTGTGAGCCACCATATGGTTGCTGGGAATTGAACTCAGGACCTTTGGAAGAGCAGGCAATGCTCTTAACCTCTGAGCCATCTCTCCAGACCCCTCCCTTTTCAATTTTTAAATTTATTTACTTTCTTTTTTGTGTGGCCTTGGCTGTTCCAGAACTCAGTCGGTAAACCAGGCTAGCCTTAAACTCAGAGGCCCGCTTGCTTTGCCTCCCAAGTGCTGGTATTAAAGGTGTGCGCCACATCCACTTGGCTCATTCTGTCATTTTTGCATTTTGCTCATAGCTACCTCTTTTGCCCCCTCCCCCACTGGTCCTTTCCTTCTCCCGAACAGGCATCTTAACAGGATTATGCCCTAGTCTCTGCCAACCTGGAGGTTCACAGTATGCAGGGTGGGTTCACATTTCATTTACTATCCCTGTCTTGTGGGGTTTTTCTGTCTTTTCTGTAGAGGCAGCCCAGATCCTCATGCATGTTAGGCAGACCTTATTCAACTGAACCATATCCTTTTCTCACCTGTTACCTTCTTGTTGGCATGTCTTCAAATGCCTCTGTTCTGAAGGTTTGGCTTTGGTTTGCTACCCTGCACAGCATTGTTCAGCCCTGTGCAGAGTATGTTTGGCCACATCTTTTTTTGTTTGTTTGTTTTTCAAGACAGGGTTTCACTGTTTAGCTCTGGCTGTCTTGAAACTTACTTTGTAGGCCAGGCTGGCCTCAGACTCACAGAGATCCGCCTGCCTCTCCCTCCTGAGTGCTGGCATTAAAGGCGTGCACCACCACTGACTGGCTTGCCACATCTTAATGCATTCTGGAATTTGGTCTTTGTCATAATCGCTGTCTTTACACTGAAAAAGTAAGTCTGATGCCCCATGCTCAAGAAAATAATTGGCTCAGAGGTCAGCTTGAATGGCAGTGATTGTAACCACTCTCTGGCTTTGCTAAATTCCATGATGTAGTTGCTCAAAAATCATCATGTGATTCTCTAAGTTGTTAAATACTGCAGTTCATAGAGGCGAGACATTGGAAAATTTAAATTAGTCCATAGAGATGGCTCGTGAACATCTGCTGCTCTTCCAGAAGACCTGAGTTGAGCTCCCAAACTTCATGTCTGGCAGTTCTGTACATCTGTAACTAGAGCTCCTGAGGACCCAGCACCATTGGCTGGCTTCCAGACACTCACCACAGAGGCATGCACACACACACGTTAAATTTTTTTTCTGATTTTATATGTATGAATGGTTTGCCTGTACCTATGTGTGTGCACCATGTGCATACCTCGTGCCTGCAAAAGTTGGAAGAGAGCTTAAGATTCCTTGGAACTAGAGTTATGGATGGCTGTGAGCCATCATGTTGGTGCTTGGAAGCAAATCCAGGTCCTCTCCAAAAGCAACAAATGTTCTTAACCATGAGCCGTTTTTCCCAGCCCCATATACACACAAATTTTTGAAAAATAATTTTGAGATTTATTTTTTTGTTTGCTTTGTTTTTGAGAAGGGTCTCACTCTATAGCTTTGGTTGGTTTGGAACTCACTTTGTAGACCAGGGTGGTGTTGAACTCACTGAGATCTACTTATATCTGCCTTCTGATTGCTGGGATTAATGGTGTGAGTCATCACGCCCAGCCTAGATTTTCATGTATATGAATGTGCACCATATGAGTGCTTGAAAATTATGGATGGTAGTGAGCCATCATGTGGGTCTTGGTATTGAACCCAGGCCTTCTGCAAGAGCATTAAGTACTCTTAACTGCTCAATCATCTTTCCAGCCCCTTAGAAGTTTTTAAGTAGTTCCTATTTGTGTTAAAAACTTAGCTTTGGAACCAGACCGATTGGTGCATGCCTTTAATCCCAAGGAGGCAGAGGCCTTTGGATCTCTGTGAGTTTGAGGCCAGTCTGGTCTACAGAGCAAGTTCCAGGACAGCCAAAACTGTTATACAGAGAAACCCTGTCCGGAAAAACCAAAAACCAGTTAATTAGCTCTGGGAGACTGAGTCGGGTTCACTGAGCATTCCAGGCCAGTCTGTGCTATAGAGTCCATTTGCACACAGCAAGACTTTCTCAAGAAGCTTCGTCCCGTCCTCTCTGCACACTCATAGTAGGCATAGCCCTGCTAACAGCCCCAGCTTCAGAGCTGTGTGTGCTAAGCTCACACACACGAGGTCAATTTGGCCTTAAATTCCGATTTTTCCTTTGTCTCAACACAGTGGGCTCAGACCCAGAGTTTGCACGCTATGTGGCAGGAGTGAGCCAGGCAATGCAGCAGAAGCGTCAAGTCCAACATGGCCGCCGGCCAGGCAACCCCCGGGGCAACTGGCCACCCATGGATGATGCCCATCGGACCTGGCCTTTGCCAGAGTTCTTCACAGAAGGGTGAGTTCTGCGTACAGTAAGGAAGCCAAATTTGGGATCTGGGTGCCCCATACAGCCTCTGTTCAAGGGGATGCTCACTGACTTTCATTCCTGCTTACTGGGCAGTGAAAGTGTGATACGGCTAAATTATGGATTGGTCAGACCCTAATTTAGGACGCAATGGGTATGATGTGTTCACATGAATACACCTTTGCTATGAATGGTACTTCAAGATAGCCTCTTGTAAATGCAGTGCACATATGAGATTTTAAAAATATTTTCTGTTTTTTAAATTAAAATATTTTTTAATATTTATTTATTTATTATATATACAATATTCTGTCTGTGTGTATGCCTGAAGGCCAGAAGAGGGCACCAGACCCCATTACAGATGGTTGTGAGCCACCATGTGGTTGCTGGGAATTGAACTCAGGACCTTTGGAAGAGCAGGCAATGCTCTTAACCGCTGAGCCATCTTTCCAGCCCCTAAATTAAAATATTTTAGCTTAAAAATTGTAAATACGGGGGAGGGGGCTAATAGAAAAAATTATAAGCACTTAACTTATGAGTAAACCAAGAGAAAACAGACGAGCCTTCTCCTCTTAAAGCAGGGATCTTATTGAACAGTGTTTCATGTGGTCTTTCTGGGGAAAGCAGAGTAGGTGTGAAACCCAAGAAGTTATTAGATGCTGTTATTATAGCCCACAGAAGTCAGAGTAGGCCTGGGGTGTGTAGCTCTGTGGTAGAGTGTTTACCTAGCATGTGCAAGGCCTTGCCTGAGCTCAGTCCCCAGCCCAGCAGAAACCAAGGTGTGTGCTCCAGTTCTAGTGCATTGAAGAATATTAAGGGTGGGACACGGTGGTACACACCTACAATCGCAGCATGTGGGATGTAGACACAGAACAGCTGTCATGAGTTCAAGGTAGCATGAGCTGTGTTATAATAGGAGCGGCGGGGCTGCGTCCCCAGCACCCCGGCCGCCTGCTAGCTTATGCCCCGAAATAACAACACACAAATTGTATTCGTTTAAACACTGCTTGCCCATTATATCTAGCCTCTTCTCGGCTAACTCTCGCACCTGGACTAGCCCATTTCTAATAATGTGTGTAAGCACCCCAAGGTGCGCTTACCGGGAAGATTCTA